TGAAGCACAAGAGTATAATAGCAATGGTATTACACTTAACAGTCTTTATACTGTAGAATATAGCAGTATAATATATAAGGCCTATAACAAATTAGCTATTATAATAGATTTTAAAATGAATATTCTGAAATAGAAGCAGAGTAACCTGTAGGAGACTGAAATAAGAATTTAAATCACACTTATTTATCATGTAAAATAAAACTTTAGGTTATTTTAATTTCATTTGGTTCACCATTCTGTGTCAGATAGTATAACAAGTTATTTTGAACTATTTTCTGGAAAAAAAAATCTTTCTTTTTCATCTAGAATGTGATTATGACAGTTAAAAGTTCATTTTAAACTGGGGAACTGCTTCATTGTTCTAATTCAGCTTAACTTTCAAATTTCAGTTCTGTTCACATGAAAACATTTTACTTACATTATGAGATTTACTTAATAATTAAATATTATAGCTTTTCTTCAAAACAATTCTTATTGTTTAGCAATACAAGTAAAGATGTTTTTCTAATAACTAATTATAACATATAATCTATATCAGTATGGCATGTAGTGTGTTTTAGTAGACCTGTAACTCAGAGTTGACATTAGGAATTGGTAGTATCCCAGGCTTTGTGGCATCAATATTAAGATTCTTAGATGCTAACTAGATATTGTCTACTATCACTTACGAAAAAGCAAACGCAAAATGAATTATAGTCTAAAAAATTCATTTCTCTGGAAATACCTTCTACAAGTGACTAATTTTCAACTAACTAGCAGTACTTAAAACATTTTCAAAGAAAGCTATGTCAAAGAAAGATGGTCATTCTGTTGTATACAATAAGTAATAGTTTATAACAATGATTAAGAGCATTTTATGTGCTAGGCACTGCTAATGAGCACTGCTACGAAGGCTAGGCACCCATTTAATCTACACAGCAATTTGGAAGACAGATACAGTTAGTACTTTCATTTACAGGTGAGAGGAAACGGAAGCATAAAGAGGTTAAGTACCTTGACCCCAGAATCAGCTAAAAGGACAGGCAGCATACTGCGGAGTCCAGTGCCAGACAGCAGCACAGGAAGTTACCTATAAATGTCAGGCTTCACTAATGGTTAAGGACTTTATATCCTATTAGGTACAGATGTAACACACAAACACATGTACTCATTCATTATCAGTTTAAACATTTTATAAAATTTCTAGCCCATAAAATCCCAATGGAGAACTATGAGATGCTATTTCTAAATACATAGTTGTAGTCAGCAGATGAACATACACATTAGTATATGATGGTCTCGCATTCATATACCTAGGGGAAACTTAAGTACTAGGATTAGCTCTGTTCATAGGTTCTAGTAGAGATCATCATACTTTAGGGATGTTCTCTGAAGTCTTTGATTTGAGTCATACTTTCAAGAAGCTTGAAAAAAGAAGACTGAACTATCAGACAACTTGTAGTGAGAAGTGAAAAAGAATGACTTCACCTTGAATGTTTCCCTGGGTTCTGCTTTTACCTACCTTCCTCACTTTGGGTATTTTCTTCATAATTTCATCTACATTTTGAAGGTTTTCAAACCTATTTGTGACCTCCTTTCCTGAGTAATAAAACCCACAGTCTTACCTGTGATACAGGGTCCCCAAATATACATATTTCATCATTTCCTTCTCAAAATTGTTCTTCCGCCTTTCTAAGGTTTACACCACCCAACCAGGCTTAAAACTCAGAAGTGATATGATTTAGCAATAGTTTAGATAAGAAGGCTCAAAGAATGTTGAGCTATACTAAATCATGAGTCCAGACTTCATTCTATGTTGTGGCTGGTTTGGAAGGATTTCAACTCCAATGAGGATCAAGCTATCAGCTTGATTAGTAGAGAAACATAATGTCTAACAGGGCAAGTCCATTCGTAGAAGTTAGGGAAAATAACATGGATTATGCCTTAAAGCAGAAGTGGAACCCGCACTGAATCCAAGCTTAAAATTCTGTGTACCATAGTGAACCTGAGAGGAAAGCTCAATCTCTAAATCTGTGAAGACCATAGAAATGTTCCCTGTTCATGTTGCATGTTGGCATGAGAACAGGTAGTCAGTCATTCAGTTTACCACATGAAGTTACAAGCACAAGGGCCCATTGGACTTGAGGTAAGGCAGTAATAGTGAAACTACACATGATAGGAATGGTATATAAAAAAATAATTATTTGTAATATTCATAAAATACAGACCAGTGAAATGTTCTGGATTCTGACCAGACTGTCACACTTTCATGATATGTAGAGCAAGGGAAGTTGATAAGGATTATAAACATTGCTTTCTAGTGTGAGCACCAATAAAGAAAAAGCAATGTGACAGAATTCACAACAGAAATGGATCAACTCAAGATGGGATGGTGAGGTAATTTGTTAGAGATTCAGGATCTTAAAACCAGTTCTGGCCCAGAATGGTTATGAACAACTGTAATCCCAGCACTTGAAAGGCTGAAGTAGATCACAAGGTCAAGGCCAGCCTGGGCTTTATAGCAAATTTGTCTTAAAAAGAGAGGGAAGGAGGGTGGGCAGGAGAGATAGGAGGGAGAAGAAGGAAGGAAACTCGTTCCAGTAATTCCACTCTAGATCATCTTTGTCCAGAGGCCATCTATACCCTAGTAATAGATGCTTTACCAGGTAACTGAGAGTTCTAAAATGGGTTGGGGGGGGGGGTTGTTTTAGTTTTCTGAGATAGATCTCCCTGTAGCCCCAGCTGGCCTTAGAACTCACTATGTAGACCAGGCTGGCCTCAAGGGCTTGATCTCACAGACAGCTGTCTACCTCTGCCTCTGGAGTGCATGCTGGGATTAGTGGCATGCACCAGGCCTGGCTCTCTTTTTTGGGGTGGGGGATTGGTTTTGTTTTGAGGCAGGTTCTTACTATGTAACCCAAGTGGACCTCAGTCCTCCTCCCTCACCTTCCTAAGTGCTGGGATGGCAGGGATGTACTATCATTCCTGGCTCCAAAAACAAGGGTAATTTTGATAGGCTGTATAAATATGCAGATAGAACAACGTTAACACCAGGAAAGCAAGACTAAGGAAAGGCTAGTTCAGAACAACACTGAGAGTCACCAGACTCATCTAATCAGACCTTTTTCATTAGACAGAGATGGGCCAAGAGCAAAGGTTAAAATGGCAGTGTCCAAAGTATGTCTAGAATATGGTTGCCATGACCAATAAACAGTGCTGACTGAGCATTTCTTTCTGTTGGATCCTGGATTTGACCTCAAAGTCTTTCTCAACAGTTCAAAGAAATGGTAAACTGATAAAATTTTCTTGCAGAATATGACATTACTCTAAAAAGGAGGGGGGGAGGTTCAATTTGTATTAAATGTTCAGTACCAGCTCTACAACCTACTTAGTTATATAACCTTAAAGAAAGTACTAAGCTCCCCTAACACTTGTTTATAAAATGGGACCTCCGATAGAACCTTATGAGAATAAATGAAATAGTTTAACTAATATTGCCTGCACAGTAATGTTTTAATCAAAGATAGATAGCTTTTTGTTATAGTATTAACGTCAGTTCTGACAACTGCATCAGTAATCTGCACAGCTATTAGTGAACCCTAAAGTGCTTTATTAAAATCTTCCATAAGAATTAAGAGCAGGCTGAAGAGCTAGCAAAAGTAGATTATCAAGTTTGCAGCCCATCTTCTAAGATGGGGAGTAGCATATGTGTAGGTTTTATAAACAAGCAGATATAAAGGGGTCCACTATGTACTACTGTTTTATTAAAAATCTGTATATGCATATATGTATGTCTGTGGATGTAGGTGCATACGTACCACGGCAAGCATGTAGTGATCAGAGGACAACTTTGGGTGTCAGTCTTTGGCCATAAGACAGAGTCTTATTCACCACTCCATATACCAAGCTAGCTGGCCTGCATGTTTACAGTGATTTCTCCTGTCTCTGCCTCCCATCTAGGAGTGCTGAGATTACAGACATGCACTACCACTACTAGCTGTATGTGAGTTGTAGAAATCCAAACTCAGGTCTTCACTTATGTGGCAAGTACTTTCCTCACTGTGCTATCTTCCCAGCCCACTACTGTGCACTTCTAACTGCTGATGTAAACAAGTAGGAGCAAGAGTCACATGCTCGTGGGACTGTGCCATCAGTTGCCAGTGTCCTTCCTCACATAATACTGAAGTCAAATAAGAGCCTCTGTCACCACTAGGAGTCCCCAGTGGGACACACTGATAGGAATCTGTCCTAGTAAACTTTTTTCCCTTTGGCAGCTATTGGAGGAAACGCCTGCTGGAAGCCCCCTTAAGGCACATTTTAAAAGACACATAAATTCAGTAGGTCATGTTAGAATTTCAAAATTGTCTTAAAAGTATTTCATGGGGCTGGAGAGATGGCTCAGGGGTTAAGAGCACTGACTGCTCTTGCAGAGGACCTGGGTTCGATTCCCAGCACCCACATGGTGGCTACAAACCGTCCTTAACTCCAGTTCCAGGGGAATCCGAAGCCCTCTTCTGACCTCCGCGGCATTGCATGACATGGGTGCACTTGCATACATGCAGGCAATACACTCACACACATAAAGTAAAAATATTAAAAAAAAATTCAAACAAACAAAAAAAAGCCAGGTGTGGTGGCGCACTCCTTTAATCCCAGTACTTGGGAGGCAGAGGCAGGCGGATCTCTGTGAGTTCAAGGCCAGCCTGGTCTACATAGCAAGTTCCAGGTCAGCTGGGGCTACAGGGAGACCGTGTCTCAAAAAGACCAAAAAAAAAAAAAGTATTTCACGTATCTTCACACAGGTGAAGAGTGCTGTCAGAATAGCCATACTGTATATGAGAGTTAATCTTGATCAGAGGACTCAAAAATAAGCAAATGGAAGGTTACCAGTGTCTAAATAAACTAGGTACCAAATTACAGGGAAGTGGGTATTTAAGTCATTTCTTAAGTGATATATGAGATATATGTTAATTTGGAAACTAATTTGTGATGATGTAACAATTACCTTCTGTATCCTACAGGCACTTAGAAGAAATGCACCCACCATGAACACAACTTCTGCATCTGCCTGATCGTATTTAAAGGAACCAAAGAAATGTGTGTAATTAATCTGCCCAGCAAATACCAATCCGTAGCACTAAGCAGGTGCAAGTCTAGATAAAGTTTCTTGCAGCTAATTTAAACTTTCTACACACACCAGTAGATAATCTCAATGTAAATAATATAGTTCTTCTTGATCCTTTAATGTGAGCCAGGGTGCACAGCAGTCTTGACTTATATTCTCTATTGTATACATTTCTATATACTTTTAGCATTTGTGGATAGAATTACGGCTCTGCCTTTGTAGAGTTACATGCTTTCCTAGAACTCACAATAAACCGAATGGCTGGCTAGTAAACCAGGTACCAGCTTTCCCACTCAAAAGCTGTTTATTAATTTATCTCAGGGATGACCACTATTATACTCTAGGGACTTTCTATGTTATATAGAAAAATATTTTGAGAATTTTAAGGTTTCATACATTTTTTAAATTATGAAATGCATTTTAAATATCAGATTGCATTTTCAGTACAGACATTTATATGCGAAGTTGTTTAAACTCAAGACTTCAGTGACTTTAAAGAAAAAACATTATTATGGAGCATGTGATCCCATTCAGATTGTTTGGAAACATTAGCTTAAATTTCCATGGTTCTGTGCTATTTGTGTCACCATCTATTTTGTTATCAAGATAAAGAGGGAAGGGGAATTATAGAATATGCCACATCTTGATAGCAGTTTCTAAAACCCCTAAACTCGACCATTTCTGCAAGGAAAGGAATGCTGTTCTTCTACTTGCCTCAAGTAGAAGAAGCATAGGTACTAACAATCCAATCAACTATTCAACACAATTGCCTTTACTGAGTTTACTGTTTAAATGAGGCTTTTTAATATAATCTGTGGGCTCAGCATACCTTGTTGGACAATTATCCTAGTAGAATATTCTCAAAATATACTAAAATGGATTGTTGAAAACTAATCCTAGGACACAAGCCAAAACATTTCACAAAGTAATCTACATTATTTAGAAAACAAGGGGTTAATGAATAGATTGGTTTCCTATGTAATCCAAGTCATGTAGGTATGTGCTTAATGCTGTTACTGTGTGTTTGACCTCTTGATATACTGAGCACTTGCCTTGCGGAACAGCTGGGTCTGCTAAGAATCATTTCCCACTTCTCTTCACCGTAGATCAGATGACTCTCGCTTTATCACTCTTGGAGGCCACATGAAGGACAAAGCAGAAAGATCCACACACAAAACTAATGTTTATATGGGGGGAAGGGTGCAGGGCATATACTTGGCCCAGATCATCTGATGAACATAACAGAAGAGAGACAATTGAGACTTGAAACCATTGTGCTGCTCCAGCCATTATTTAGCCTCAACCTATCCATCTCTTGCTCTCTTTTTATGGACAGAGAGGATTCTCTCGCTGCTTTGACTTTTGTAAATGTTTTGCTCACTTAGTTGTGGTTTATCATTTGGACAGAATGCTACATCGGGGATTTTTCTCCCCTCCCTGGGGCCTCAAGAGAAAATGACTTCTGTATGCTTCACATATGATACATAAATCGAGCCCTATTTTCTTCATTGCTTTAAGAAGCAAACCCAAGTATATTAGCAATGGAGAATACTGCATTTTTCAAAATGCCTCTTCCCTCTAAAATGTAGCAGAAAATAACATAGGACTGTTCAGTTTTTGACAGATAAGAAAATGAGAAGTCTGTCCTTAATATTTTTGTATTACCTAAGTATCTGTTAAAATATCCCTTCCTGAGATGAGCTGAGGGAAATGCTTCGGAATTTCATTGCTGGAGTTTTTATAGTATTTTGGAACCTATCTGCTTCAAGCTTAAAGTACATTTTTTGTTGTTGTTGTTTATATCTAATTTTTGTTTTTTGAGATAAGGTTTCATGTAGCCTAGGTTGGCCTTGAGCTTACTAGGTAGTCTAGGTTGGCCTCAAATCCCTCCTTGTCCTACCAAGGGCTGAGATTACAAATGTGTGCCACCAGGCCAGCCCAAAGTACATTCTTAAACTGTTTTCTAATGGAAATGAGAGGTACTTGGCTTATATTGCTTCCTGTAAGTCTCCTTAAAAGCTATAATGTAACTCAGTATGATTACATCATCTGAAAAATGTGTTTTATTGAAAGAATTTACTTATATAAGGAAAATGAATGTGTTATTAATGTTTAATACTTTTATTTTCTTCAAATAATAATGTTGATCTACTGAATTTCTTGTAAATTAGAACTTCAGTAATTAAAATCAACATTCTCTAATAAACTCAAGTATATTATTATTAAGAAAACATTTTTAAATAAAGCTAAGCCAGTAAGCCAAGATGCTGTCATCTGGGCCCAGTGGTTACAGATAGAGACCATGGGCAGTGGTGTTCCTGCTGACTCGGCAGCGATCAAGGCTGCTTACTTTTCTGTGCTGACCTGCCCTTTGAGTCTTTATGCACATGAAGTCACTTCATTTATCACGCTGAGAAATACATACCTTCTTGCATCAGCCTGTGGCTAGCCAGGTCCACAACCAAATTTTCTTTGTGTCTAGGTGGCTTAGCTTTTACCATTTTAGAATATGTCATTTAATGACTTATCAGGGACTAAAGAAACAGCTTTATATGAGAAACTATAAAATATGTGGTTTTTTTTTTTTTAAACCAATTGACTACTATAGTAAAGATGGGTTCCTGCTAATTGGAAGTGATAACCATATCAATAGGACAAAGCAAACAGGAAGCATGATGTGAAGAAATGTTTGTGCCACTGGAAACCTTAAACCAGATCATAACAAAAGAAGATGAAATCCTTCATAAGGCAGTTTGACTTAGAATGATTCTGGACTAATGCTCATGAGTAACTAAAAAGACTTCAGGCTATGTATTTAAGAAAGTCCCTTTTAAAAATGCAATCAAGTAATCCTGTATTCTTAGAATATTATAACAAACTTAATTCCCTGAGATATAACTTCTAAACAAGGAAATGCATGCTAAAGTACAAAGAAAAAGGAACTTAATTCTTCTAAGAAGCTCACTCTATTTTGCAGTTTTTTTCAAAAAATCGTAATTTATAGAGTATATTCCCTGAGTAAATACTGGTACTAAGGACATTTTTCTCTCTCCTTTTTGTTGAGACAGGGTCTCAGGTAGCCCAGGCTAGCCTCAAACTTACTATGTAGCTGATGATGACCTTGACCTTGAACTCCAGGTCCTCTGCTTTTACCTCCCAAGTACTGGGATTACAGGCCTGAGTTACCACACACAACTAGGACATTTTTCTCTTATTTTAAGACTTAAATATATGTGAACATTACCAAAATTACAGTGTACTTTAACCAAGTAATACTTTAGAAAATAAAAGCCTCCATTGGCCTTTGCTCTCCATATACATTTATTTTATGTAAATAACCATGCCTTTTCACCATGTTCTTCTCTATAACTCCATGATTTGAAAAATGATTTCATTTATACATAACAAAAAGATTGGATTTATTTGGGAATATAGCTACTTGATTTTTTTCCGATTTCTTCCGTTTTTGGACTCCCACATGATTATAATGTTAAAGTATACCAAGAAGAACAGGAAGTTCATACAGGACACAAAACAAACCAATACAGAGAATAAGTCAGGTAATTTCTCAGGCGGATCCAGTGTGACAGTCAAAATCGTCAGAAGGACCATGGTGATTACCGAAGAAAAAAACTGTAAAGGAAAACGGTATTGAAGGTGAAATTGAAATGTACTGGTAACATTGACTTGTAGTTATTAAATGAGCAGAACTGAAGATAAGAGTTGGAGGGCAGTGCCCAAACTGTTCTACACACAGAGATCAACTTTAGCTTTAATGTTAGGATTATCTGACAGATTTTTTTTTTTAACTTCCATGTATAGGCCATACCCTAGACAAATTAAGAATTTAAGGGAAGGCCTTAAATGTGAATACCTATTGTTAAACTCTCTAAAAACTTCTACATGAAGCTAAGCCTAAGAACATTTTATCATGGGGGTGGGTAAGGTGTATGTGTGCCATGGTATGCACATGGAGGTCAATTTGCCAGTCAGTTTTCTCCTTCCACCATGTGGGTCCTGGGGGGTCAAACTTAGGTCACTGTGTTTGATGACAAGCGCGTTTACCTGCTGAGCCATCTCAGTGGCCTGAGAACCTGTTTTTTTGTTTTTAAGATTTTATTTATGCACATAGGTGTTTTGCCTACATGTATAAAGTGCACCACATGTGTGCCTGGTGCCCACGGAGGCTAGAAGAGGGCATCAACCAATCCTCTGGAATCAGAGTTAAGGATGGGTTAAGTGCCATGTGGGTGCTGGGAACCAAACTGGAGTCCTGCAAGAGCAGCCAGCATTCTTAACCACTGAGCCATCTTATCAGCCAAACTTTTATCTTTTTAATTCAATGGGTACTATACTTTTTTGCATATATATGGTGTGTACATGTGTGTGTACAGGCAAGTCAGAACCCAAGGCTGAAGTCAGTTGTTTTCCTTGATTGTTCTCCAGGATCTTTTGCAGAACCTCAAGCTCGCCACTTCAGACAGCTGTCTAGCCAGCTTCCTTGAGGCATTCCCAGTGTCTGCCTCATACATACTGAGAGGCTACCATCTCCCCAGCCTAGCATACAATTTTCAATAACTATAATAAGACCATTATAAAGGATGCTTCATATTTCAAATAAATATAGCATATATCCTACATGGTCTTGTCTTTCATGGTCTCACACTAAATTAATCTGATTCCAGATTCATAAATTTAGTATTGGTATATAAGGACATTGTAGGGTTACAATGGACCTTTACTGTCCCAAATAATGCCACATAAAACACCAAGCCTTCATCTTTCAATGAGTATGGCTTTTATCCTTGTCTGATATGTGTCCTGGGCTGTTTAACTCTTTGCACTCCCAAATATTTGAGTTGCCAGTTCAAACATGCCATTACACGTTTTTAGGCATAATTCTAGAAGTTGCTTAATTATATCTCTTTAATTTTTTTCATTTTACGAAGGCAGACTTACACTCTTAGACATCTGTAAAAAGTTTGCTTTAATCCTGTAGTTAAATACAAAGAATGACTTTAAGACACTGATTTTCCTTAGTTGCTTGTATAGTTATCAAGGATTCAATAGAAATTTTTAACAGTAATACACCATTAAAATACAGAAATAACTTCCAAAGTGTCTACTTTGAGGTCAGTATTCTCATCTGTATATACTTTTCAGCTTATTAGTTTGAATAGAAAATTGTCCACTAAGTCACACAACTCATGGTTTTAGGTACAAAGATTTTCAAAGTAACAGCATTAAAGATTTTCCTGCCTCCTTTTTTTTTTCTTTCTTCCTTGAAGGAAACTTCAACTTTCTAACACCTCTGGAGGAGATTGATTTTGTGGAAAAAAAAAAAATTACTTCACAGAAAGTGGTGCTAAAGTTTATACATGATATAAACACTTTGCTTCATTCATGAACCTATATAACTGATTGATAATATTCTTGAATTTCATTCTCTTAAGAAAGACTTTAACCTGCAGAATTCTCTAGCATCAGACCATTGGACATGGATGCACTTAACCACTCCCAGTTGAATAGTGAAGTCTGTTTAGAAACTTTTGGATCTGGTGATTTACACTAAAATTGAGAGCTCTAAAACTGAACAAGGAATACCAAAAACTGAAGTAAAAACCTATTTAGAAAATTCTGAATGTGTCTAAGATAGGCTTCTGATATCCATGATGATAACCACCAGTTCTGATATAGAAGCTCTCATCTGAGACCACACCATGAGCCAGCCCTCTGGCTTTGGAAGTTCTGCAGTGTTCTAGAATGTTGGACACTGAAGGCAATGTGGCACTCCTGGTTTCTGTTCATTCTGCTTGGTTTTTCTGCATGAAATGCATTGTGAAATGTAATGTGTTAACATTTTTTTATTTAGTTCATTTTTTTCCCCTCTTGAACACATGAATGTGTCTTCATTTCTAACTTGAAAAGTACCAGTCCTATTGCCAGCCTGAAAGGTGCTGGCTGCTACTGTCAGGAATAAATGCCTTTCAAATTTGCTTTTCTTTTCTGATTCCACTCATGAGCTTCCTCCACAACACCAGGAATCATCATAACACATTCAATATCTAACCACTTCTAACCTCTTCCTCTGCCACGGCAGCCCATGGCACCATTGTCTTTTTATGGATTCCAGTATCCTCCACGTAGCTGCCATAGTGAGCTTTTGAAAATAAGTCATGTGCCTGTCTAGACTTAGCACACATAAAATAAAAATAAATAAAATATTAAAAAAGAAAAACGCAAATTTAAATGTAATGAGATACCACTTCACAGTTAACAAAACTGCTATAATTAAAAGACAGCAACTAATGCTGTCAAGGACTTGGAAACAAGAATCTTCACACATTTTTCATGGAATATGGAATCAGGATTTACTATGGAAAACAGGCAATTTCTGAAAATATTAAGCACTGAATTACCATAAGATCCAGAAATTCTATTCCAAGGTATGTATTTAAGGGTAATGAACACATGTGCATTCAATATTTTGTACACAGGGGGTTGGAGAGATGGTTCAGTAGTTAGGTTCCCAATATCCACATAGAAACTAACAACTGTAACTCCTGTTCCATGGAATCCAAGGGCACCATGGCAACACACATACATGCAGGCAAGACATTTATACATATGATATAAAATAATTTTTAAGTGTATTTTGTATACAGATATTCCTAACAGTATATTCATTAATAGCCAAAACCAATCTAATGTCCATTAACTAATGGGAATGTGGTACACCTATATAATAGAATATAATTTGGCAATAAAATGAAACTTAAATATTGATATATACTATAATATGGATGACTATGCTATGGAAAACCACATTTTATGATTCTGTGTTATAGACTCAACTGTGCCCTACCTCAAAATTTACATGTTGAGGGTTGGCTAGATGACTAAAGGTGCTTGCACCCAAGTTGCCCTCTGCCCTTTGTATGTATACCATGGCCATGCATGCACACATGCACGCACGCATACACACAAACACACACATACACACACACACACACATACAAGATACATATATATGTGTTTATTAAAAAAATCCATTTGTTGAAGCCTGAACCCTAATGTGACTGTATTTGGATACTGGCTTTTAAAAAGACAATTATGACTGAGATCCTAAGACTGAATGTCATAATCCAGTAATACTAGTATCTTTGTAATAAAAGGAGATACCAGAGATAATCTCCCCCTTTGCATACAAAGTAGAGACCACAAAGCAAGAAGGTAAAAATCAAAGGGTGTGGTAGGGCACCCTTTTTATCCCAGCACTCAGGAGGCAGAGGCAGGCAGATCTCTATGAGTTTGAGGCCAGCTAGAGCTATATAGTAAGACCTTGTCTCAAAAAGCAAACAAAAAAGATGGTAGCTAATCTATAAACCAGGAGCAGCAGCTTCACCTAAACCAACCTTGATGGTGCCTCAATCTTGGGTCTCCAGCCCCCAGAAATAAACTGAGGAAATAAATTTCTGTTGTTTAAGCCATCCTGTCTGTGCATTTTGTTACAGCAGCGTGAGCTGACCATGACTTGTACTTATATGCAATATCCAGAACAGGCAAATCTATAGAGACGAAAAGCAGATTGGGGTTGTCCAAGGCTAGGGCTAGAAAGGAAGGTATAATAAGGATTGAGAACTAATGGTGGGAATTTTCTTTTGGGAGGGTGATGAAAATAATCTAAAATTAGGTGATGATGATAGTTGTATAAATTTGCATATATTATTAGCACCACTAAAACAGATTATAGGAATAGTATCTCAGAAACCTTTAAAAGGTATCTCAAGCCAGGTGTGGTGGCACAAGGGCTAATACTAGCACTTGAGAATCTAAGCCAAGAGGAACAAAGTTCAAATCCGGTATGGGCTACCTAATGACTTCCAGGTTAACCTGGCTACATAGTGAATGAGACTCTGTATCCTCAACAACAACAAAAAAGTTCATTAATTTGAAAAAATAGTAACACACTAGAAAATATACGCTCAAGAACTGAGCAACAGGGCCATCAAGATGACTGGGTAAAGGCACTAAGGCAAGCCTAACAACCTGTACTTAGTGCCCAAAACCCTCCAAGGTAGAAGGAGAGAACCAACTCCCTGAAATTATCCTCTGACCTACACATGCATGCATGGGCACATGCACACACGCACGCACGCACAATAAAGTTTTTAAAAAAAGGCTGAACTTGGGGGCTGGAGAGATGGCTCGGTGGTTCAGAGCACTGACTGCTCTTGCAGAGGACCCAGGTTCAATTCCTAGCACCCACATGGTGGTTAACAACCATCTGTAGCTCCAGTTCCAGGGAATCTGATGCCTTCATCTGACCTCCACGGGTATTGCATGACACACATGCAGGCAATACACTCATACACATAAAATAAAAATAATAAAAAAAATTTTTAAAAAAAGGCTGAACTTACCAAATAATGTATAATTCTGGGAAGAAACGTAAAACGCGGGAAGCACTTTCTCACAGAAATGGCAAAGGGTCTCAACTGCAATTCCTCTTCAGAAGTCTTTTCAAATATTGGAAAGAAAGTGGTACAAGCTGTACAAAATGCCACCACTGTCACAATGGACGGCATTAGGAGTTCATCCTTTAATAGAAGAGGTAGCATACTGTAAAGGAAAAAAAAATAAAAAATTAAGCATTAATTTAAACTATAGTCACTTTGTAAAAATTTTTAAGTGAACTTATTAAGAGTCATATTGAAAATACTATGTGGAAATTAGTTTGACTCACCTAAATGTTGACACAAGTAAAAACCAAGTTGACATCAAAGGAATTTCATTTAAAACTAAGCAAACTGGTCTAAAATGACAAAGAAAAAGTATTTTAATATTACAGAATATAGTTTCACTCTAGCTTGGAAAATATATAAATATATCCTACCTATATGATTTTTCAGATAGTTTAAAAGAAAAAAAAAACAGTTCTCCATATGGACTACTGACTCATTTTTCTAACAGTCCAAACTAAATCTAAAAGAGATGAAGTGTCAACTACTCATAAGAATTGGACAACTGCTGCTCTGTTAGGACAGGCAAGATTATTGTAAAAATGACAAAAGAACAACAGACATGGATGATAAAGGGGGACAAGTTGATAATAGTCCACCAAAAGAAGAGACGAAAACTGAATAGTAAGAGGTTCCACGAAATGGGCAACAGCAGTAGAATTGGAAACACAGTGGCAATAAATGGAGCCACTGGCTTATCCAGCTGTTTTGGGTCATCTACCAAAGTTTTCCCTGTCCAAAGCCTTATGGATTCCACTGCTCATGGAGAAGGCAGCTAATCCTACTCTTCTCTACCACTTACTGTGTGATGTTGGGCCAATAACTAATCTGTTTTCCTTTTTTTGGGGGGGTGGGGCTCTTTTTAAGACAGGGTCTCTCTGTAGCCCCAATTGGCCTGGAACTCACTATGTAGACCAGACTGGCCTTGAACTTACCGCCTGCCTCTGGAGTGCTGAGATTAAAGGCGTGCACCACCACGCCTGGCATCTGTTTTCTTATGTATAAATGGAAATAATAATATAATACTTTTTACTGTTACGTAGTTGAAAGAACTCTCTACAAGTACCACATACTTGTAACAAAAGTAAGTTTATCTAAGGGTGAAGGCCATTGAATAATTGCTGTTATTACTATTAGTTTTGCTCTCATGTTTAAAAATGCTCCAAAAGGTTTGAGCATTTTCCCCCTTTCTGAGAAAGATGGCTTTTCTCCATGTCAACTGGCATGAGACGTAAGCTTGGGATTGAAAACCACTAAATTAAGAGAATATTCTAGAGGACTTTCCAGCCCATTGCTTCAATACATGCTAAACCAGAATGGATTCATTAGCAAGAGCATAGTTAAGTACTCAATTAATATGGTTTCCTGAGCCTTCTTTCCCATTAAGTCTTTCAATGTGCAGTTACCAAATCCAAACATTAATCAAACTGTATTACACATAGGCACTGCTGTAAAAATAATACAAAGATGAATATAACTCAGCTCTTAACCTCAAGGTATATATGCTAAAATACACTCCCAAGCAGCACAACCCCCTACATCCTCAGAACCTCTCATTCACCCCTTCACCTGTTTAAACCATGCCTGGGCTTGCCATTTCCCTCAGAATCAAAGCAAAGTTTCTAGTATCCCTTTCAAGGTCCTACAAAATTTGTACTGCCAATACTTTTAAGTGGTAAGATTTGACTCAGGTTTGGGCTTCAGGGGATGACATGGGCTCCCAATCTGCAGTGACAGGCAACTACTGAGCTCTAGGCAAGGATGCCTTCCAAATAGGCAGCACAGTGCTTCCAGCCAGAGCTCCATCTAATAAATGTACCGTTTTCCACTCGTAACTGGTCATTCTGTACAGGTATTTTCCACGAGCCTCAGGAGCACGGGATTGGGTATATTGGTAGCAATTAGGACTGACCTAGGGGAGGATGAGGTATTTCAAGGTATTCTAAAGCTAATATGATTTTACTATTAGGATAACCTAATCCCAATTGTCACCCAGTGTTTTTTTTTATAAAGAGCAGAAAAATTTTAATGCTCTTAAAGTAGCTTGGTTAAGGATTGCCAAGAGAGTCTAAAAACCAGCTAAAGGTTGTGAAATGGGGGGGGGGGACAAAAAAAAAAAAAGCCCACAAGGGAAGTAACATGTAAACAACCCCATAGAGGCAAAGGGGACAAACAGGCTCCAAACTAAGGAAAGCCTCTGTGAATGACATGCTTTTTTAGTATGGTGAAAATACAGAGAAATAAGAAGAAGAATATGTCAGTAATAAATTTATCAACTCTTTTGGTTTTAAATACATTTTATCAAGTAAAATAATTCATATATCATTCACAGATATGGCAAAAACACTGGTACGGTTTTATTTTGCATTTAAGTTAACATTTTTATGAACTTACTTGTACATAATAAACATAATAAATGAATACTTCAAAGACTTATACTTACAATGACACCAAGAGAATGGACTTTTCATGCACTTGGAAAGAAAATAAAAAGAATGATAGTGCACAGCTAGCCTTCAAAAGAAAAAAGGAAGGTATGGAATAAGATGTGATAACTTGCAAAATATATCAATGTAATTATAAATCTTAATCAAAATCATTCAAACAAAGTTTGCCTACTACAGTTATTACCTAGAGGTTAAAAAAAAGAAATACAGAATATCCATAATATTAACCAAATTTAAACATGTAAATTAAAAAAAAATTATTGGGCTGGTGAGGGGGATAAGGTACTTGCCACGGAGACTGACAATATGAATTCAATCCCCAAGATCCATATAGTGGAAGGAAGAGAGCTGGCTACTGTGGGTGCTCCCCTGACTCCCCATATAATATAGACCATCTAAATAGTTTTAGTGAGACTCAGTTACTAATAAAACTACTAGATATAGGAGATTTAACAATCATACCCCTACTCTCCCTTAAAGTATGACTAAACTAGTGAAAAAGGATGGGGCCAGTAAGATGGCTCAGCAGGTAACAACCCTTGCTGCCAAGACTGATGATCTCCAGAACCCACTTTGAAAAAAGAGAGAACCAATTCCTTTAAGTTGTCCTCTGATCTCTGTATTCACACCAGGGTACACATATAAGTGCACAGTTACACAGAAAATTTATAAATGTAAAAAATTTATAAATGTAAAAAAGTTAAATATGAAGGACGAAAGGGTCAAAATCTAAAACTGAAAAAACAAACCTATTGCAGCTTTTAAAATGTGTATTCCAATAAAATATATTAAATGTTTTATAAATTCATCTACTCTCTGGAGTTTTAAATAAATTACTTGATCTGTCTATATACATTGATCTAGTTGCTTAAAAAATCCTGACTTACTGTCTGTACACCTAAACATGTCCTCCATCAGTGGATCCTATCTCTGACACTTCTGTTAGACAGTGTCCATCCACTTCTCTCCATTCCCCTTTTAGAGCGAGCTAAGCTACACCTGGCCTAGTCTAGTAACCTAACTGGTAGCACTCTTGCCCCTTACAGTCTACTCTTCAAACAGCTATGTCAGCTCATGTAAGGTCCCAATTTCAATCCTCCACTGACCACCTATTACACTTACAATGTATCTCAACACCTGTGAGATCTGGCTATCTTCCTTTTCTAATTCATGCTATTGTCTCCTTCACTCAGCTTTACCCAAACCACTTCATTCCTACCTCTTTAATCCTTGAAGCAACTCAAATATGTTCCTGTCTTAAGGATTTTTTTTTTTTTAAATCAAGTCAAAGCCCAGGTCTTGTAATTATCTTCTAGTAGGTTATCTCTTGGCTCAATTACTCTGAAAAGGCTCCCCTTACTCATACTAAAGTAATGCCTTCGCTGACACAGTGTGCACACCTGTAGTCCTTGCTGCTCAGGAAACTGAGGGTCATCCAGCTCAAGTTCAGAGACAGGTTGTGCAACACAGACCAGATCCAGTCTCAAAGAATCCCTACTGCATTAGCCCTGGGCTTCTGCGTGCTCCTCCTCCATTTTCTTCACAGCACTCACTCATCATCACTCCCAAATATTTTGTTGATAGATTCTTGTCGTTCTCCTGCCACTAGCATGAAAGGGCCCAAGCGAAAGAGTAGGGCTGTTATCTGTCCTACCCTTGTGTGTCAGCACCTAGAAGTGGACCAGCACATGACAGGGTCCACAGTTAATACTACCTGAATAAGTTACACAGAATTCATTTTGCTGCTATAGAGATATTCATACTATGGGGCCAGGCATGGGAGCACACACTTTTAATCCCAACGTTGAGTTGGGAGGCAGAGGCAGGTGGATCTCTACGAGATGGGGGTCAGCTGGTCCAAATAGGCCAGCAAGGGTTACAGGGAGACTCTATCTCCAACCAAAAATATCATACTATCAGTTACTCAATTGCAGGCTTATTCAACCAAACTTGCTTGAAAAGAAAAGACATTTAAAATAATGGGAAAGGCTTTAAAACTCAGAAATACACAATTATAATTTAAAACAGTATCACAAAACAAAAACAAAGAAAAAAATTATTGTGTAAACCACAGTAGCTTGCTTTAAAATAGAGCAGATAAAATTAGGAAATTGAGAGAAAATGTTTTTCCTAGTTTGAATTTCTAAAAGTAATCATCTCTAACACTGTTACAGTTATCCATTATGATTTATTATTTATGCATGTGTCTATTGTACAAAAATTTTTTGTTTTATATCCATTCCCAGAATGTTCCCTGTTTTCTCCTACCTCAAGCCCTCACTTCTGTCCTGAAATTCTTTTCTGCTATAAAACCATTCCAAATTTTGCCTAGCTTTCAAAATCTGGCTGAAATCCCACTTGCTTAGCAGCTGTCTAGAATCTTCCTCCAAGATATCTCCCTTTCCCATGTCATCATAAGACTTGATTTGGACCTGACAGAACTTAATGCCATCCTAGTGACAGCCTAATTATTTACACATGTTATCACCACTCTTTCCTTCTCTGTGGTCTTTCATTAACCAGAAGAAAACAGAAAGCAGCAGACCCTGAAGTAAACTGAGGGATCCTGATTGCCCAGCCTAGTGCAGCTAAGCACAGAAGGTGCTCAGTGTTCGCCAAATAATGAGTGCCTTATTTTCTAACCCAGGCAATCTTATTCAAAATAAGAAATTACTGATAGTTTTAAAAATGTATCAGTTATAGTAAGAACTAAGTATCTTAAGTAAAATAAGAAACTTACCAGAGTAAATCTGAATACTTTGGAAGAGGGCTGGAGTGTCAATTTTATACATGCAGGAAGCAAGCTCAGAAATGTAAAGCAAAAACTGAAAAGGAATAAAATGTGTGTTCTGTGAGAAATAGAAATCTAGCTTTAAAATTATCTTTTAAAATGGACCACATTATTCATCAAATTTGTTTATTTTTATTTATTAAATTTAAAACTAAATACATTTAAATAAAATCTACACATTGAAATACACATGATTTTGATATAATGCAAAACCAAACAAAATACTAAATATTGCTTAGGTTATTTTAGCATTTAATATCATGTATAGAAAAGACAAAATATATACAATTGTAAATCAGTTACTAAATACTAAAAAATAAAACACAACCAAGCATAAATAATGCTGTATTTTTCACACAAACATTCATAAACTTGATTCCAAGGAGAGGCCTTCTGCCCTTGACTTCATAAAAGTTGATTATCTGATTTTCAAGTCCTTGGTGAGTAAGAAAGAACAAGTTATAGGGAGAGAGAGCTACCAAAGCTTTGCTTCATGATGGCTCAGAAGTGGGGGGAAGAAGATCCAGAGAACCAGACACAGCACCTTAACCCCATGACACAGCTCCTACTGAAAGTACATGTAGCCAATACCTCAAATGAGACAAGTAGCCTCATTTCCTCACTGGCAGTTCTCAAACTTATGAAAATGACTAGGCTAAAAGGAAGTCCCCAAATTCCTTTTCTGCATGCTCCCTGTTAGAGCGGGCTACAAGGGCTATGCTGAGAGCTGGAGCCCAGGAGAAAGGCAACACCCATCTCCAACACCAAGTACTCCTCTGCTGTTCAGTTAAGTCAATCAAAGGAGTGCTTGTCCTGCGGGCCTAACAATCTGGAAGCCCCTCTAAAGAGAACTTGGGCCTTCCCTAACAGCAGCGACGGCTCAGTCACACTTCTCCCCAAAACATTCCTTGCCTTGTGGATTTCTGGTTTGATTAGCCAGCCTCCACAACTCTCCACAACTACATAGGCCAATTCCTTAGAGTAAGCTCAGGCACACACAATAATTTCCCACTTCCCCCTTATTCTACTTCTCTGGCTGATGTTGGCTGATACACCTGTGAAAATCATGACTCTTGAAGGTAATCTTAAATCATGTTTAGTGTATGCTCTACTTAAAGAAGAAAATTAGGGGAAATGTGGAAAAATGTTCACATAAAATGATTCGGATGGGAAAATTTTACCGTATTAAGTGGCAAGTCACTAATGGACAGCTCATTCAGATAAATGACATACTACTAAACTATCTTATGAAACACTATGTATAAACTCATTATTAGTTACCTGATTGCTAGCTGGATGTGACGAGGCAAAATGTCCTTAATCTTCAGAAAAACACTAAAACTGCACCAAATGTTGGCTACTTTATCCTTAAAAAAGATTTGTTAGTTTTACATTTTGGTATAATTGAAAGAAATATTAAACCCCATGAAATACAACCCATAATCTCTAAGTAATAAACTTTTAATATATGAAACTTTTCACACTTAAAGTAGATTAAAACTCCAAGCAGTTAAAGTATACACCTACCACCTCAAACATTTTTCTTTTTTCGCAATGTAAGTTGATTTAAAGCATTAGCGAAGTATAATCTACATTTCTATAATATACTTAATACTGGGGCTGGAGAGATGACTCAGCAGTTAAGAACTCTTGCAGAAGACCCAGGTTCAAATCCCAACACCCACATGGCAGTTAACAACTGTCTGTAACTCCAGTCCCAGGGGATCCGACAGCCTCTTCTGTCCTCTGCGGGCATTACACGACATGGGTGCACTCACCTACACCTAGGCAATACACATAAAATAAAAATAATAAAATATTTAAAAAATATATTTTTTTTGAGAATTTCATATAGGCACATAAGTTGTTTTGATCAAATCCATGCCCACTCCCTCCCCTCCAACTCCTCCCATATCTCCCATCACTTTTTTCTGATAACTTCATGTACTCTTTCTTCTATTTTTTTTTTATGGGGCTATTGGCTACTCTCACATTACCCCCTCTGAAGACATAACCCTAAAAATCTTTTAGGATTAGATAAAAGCTCCCAAAAGTTTTCAACATTTTTGGCCTTTGGAATGGAATATGTTGCTAAGAGGCCCAAGGACATTTTGACTTTTAGCCAAGAAACTGGCTACTTTTCTTTGGGGTCTTTTTACCCTAACTGCCTAGCCAATTCCTACCCTATTCTTATCACACCATCCTCTGAAGAGGTTACCCAGCTTGTGGATAGGAGATCAGGACACACACTGCTCTGGCTTCTTCCATGCTGAACAGGAATGCAGGGTGAGACAATTTGAGTACCTCTTCAGTGGGTCTATCTAAAAGACTCCCAAATTACAAAACTTATCTCTAGGGGGAAAAGAATGTCCTTGAATCCTGAATAGGAGATGTGAAGGAGAAGTAAAGGCAAGAGTAATTAGCATTACAAGTGCTAGACAGGGAACTAGGAAAAAGTCAGAACAGGGCAATTTTCAAATGTTCATATGAGAGTCCATTGGAGTTTCTTGACAGGGGCTTCCCTCTACTGGGTTCCTCCTTATTTTTCTTTTGTCTTCCAAGGCGGACTTTAGAGTGATGGATTCAGGATTTGCTTTCAGATATTTTGATAGCTGTTGGAGTGGTTAGAATCAGTGTCAGTTCCCTCTCAAAGCCTTCGAGATAACTGAGGGATTGCTGAGGTGAAAGTACTTAATATTTTTCAAAGACCAGAAACATACTCTTTTAGAAATGTTCCTAAGAAAAAAATTTCCCAAGTTTGTAAAACATGTATTAATTAGATTTGATCCATTTCATTACAAATTTGTATTTATGTCCAGTAATTTAATAGGTACTAGTAATGGCAAGACTAATTGCTAATATATCAATAAGTTTTAATACATTAGCAAATGTGCCAGATCACTTTCAAAATTAAATTTGTAACTACAGCTTTCCTGCTCATAAAATCCATCCTTTACAGAGCTGCAGAACAGCTGGGTAGGCATGACCTCAAGAAAGTAACTACTGCTGACAGCTGTACCATCCTATTTTCCTCTGAGGAATCAAAGAAATGCTCTACAGTTTTTGAGGACAACAAGGAAGGAGTCTGGCAACACTAGCAAATGCATGATCCCCATTTTCCTAATTATCATGTAGACACTCTCTGAAATGGAAAATTCAACAAATAATAGGCAGCTTTCATAGAGAATCAAGGTTTTCATTTTTCCACTGTTAGAATTATCCAAAGTTCACATCACATCTCTATCCCAATAACAATTCTGTGAATGTCTGACCTCAGTTTTCTATTTGTATATTAGAGATAACAGGCACCTTGGAGCTGTATGGATCACATAAAACTATGTGGAAGGGCCTGGCACCTAAAGAGTAATGTTAGCAACAATGGTGATTACCACCATTATCTGTGTCCTGCCATCTCCATCAACATCGTCATATACCCCTCTGCTTTCATAACAAACTCACTGCTTAGTCTCTCTCAGAATGCTTGTTCTATCCCTATAAATCAACTGAAAGATATTCTACAGAAATTATATATTCAAAAATTAGATATGCTTTTCTGATTCTTTTTAAAAGAAATGTTATTCGAAAGAAAATTATCTATAACTATGTTGTCTCTAAGTTTATTAAGACCTTTTGTTCCAGAAAAAATGGTTTGTTTAATTTAGTTACTTAATCTAAATGATCAAATTATTCATGCAATAAAAGTTTAACAAAAGTGATGAAACTAACATTAAACAAAAGGTTCTCATTAAAAATTACTATGGATGAAGGTTATGTATCTCATAAGGAATTATGAGATCTTTCAGAAGCGAACATGATTATCAGTTTAACAAATAATTGTGGCAAACTAAGAAGAGAATATAAAACAAAAAAACCATACATTTGTTAACTTTATAGCTGCAACATTTCACACTCTTTCATTAATACATCTATTTGACTAGAAAAACATATAGTTGAATTATGAGGGATCTAATTATGTCAAAAATATTACCTATTCATGTAAGGTAGTAGAAAAATGCAAGCTGAGCGAGAGGTATTGGATCAAGTAACTGACAAAAAATAATTGAAGAAGGAAGAAGTTCCTGTTATAGTGTCTTCTACATGAACTCTCCAAAGGTTACAGGAAAGGCACAGTAATAGAAAAGGACAGGAAAGATTTTAAACGTACCTCAAACAATCCACGATCAACAGGGAAGAGTCTTCTTAGAACCTGCAGGGCTTGTTCCCTTTCTGTAAAGAATGGCAACCAGCAGAGAAGGAAGGAAGCCACAACAGTGCATGCTGCCTTAATCAACAACCCAAACCTAGAACAAAAAGCAGAGATGAGCAGTAAGACAATTCTGAAAACATGATTTAACACCTTAGACACAGATGTACTGTAATGCTCAATTCATGCTACCAATACAGACTCAAGTCAGGTCACAACACAGAAGAACCATAACTGTTAAGATAGTCATTTCTCCAACCAAAGGAGTGCTACTGCTTATTTAACTTGGATCCCATTTCTGTATGCATAAAGGGATGTAGTCATAAAGAAAAATGTCAAGCGAACAAGTATTTCTAACAAGTTTATAATGTGATAAGCTCTAAAGTGATAAAATTCTACACTTATGCTCTCACAAATCAGCCCACATTACCTCCAGAGAGTATATACTGGTCAAAATACTTCTGTGGGTATGAGGATTTAAAAGAATACAGAATACAACTGTTGGCTTTCTTCTCATTCACCCATGGCCAAAACATTTTATAAGAAATCACCAAAATCAAAGACCACATTCCTCCACATTAATTATGCCTAATAAATTCTCTAAAGGTTTTGAATTCTAGAGTTTAAAAGTCACTTACCCCTTTCCTTTGAGGCCTTTTTTAAAACACTTGCCAAGTAAAAAGCAAAAAAATGGCAGAGAGTGGTAAAGTTCCATCTGTTTATAATTTAAAGCTAAGCAAAATGCCAATGACCCTAGCAGGTCCCAGTCACAAGATACTCCAAGAACACCCCACAATGCAAAACCAAGACTCACAGAATTATATATGTTTCTGTGTCAAGGAAATTATCTCAAGTATCTCAATAATAGATCTTGCATTTTATAAAGCATATTCTTATGTGATTTAAAAATAATACGTATATACAACAAAAGCTTATTTCCTAAGTACAATTTGGAAATGCAAATTAAAACCACCTTAAGATTTCACCTTACCCCAGTCAAACTGTCTAAGATCTAGAGAACAAATGATACCAAATCCTGGCAAGGATGTGGAGAAAGGGGAACACTCATTCACTGCTGGTGGGACTGCAAACTTGTGCAACCCCTATGGAAAGCAGTATGGCGAACTCTTAAAAATTAAAAATCAACCTTCCTTATGACCTGGTTATACCACTCCTTGGCATATACCCAAAGGAGTCATCCTACTGCAAAGATACTTCTACATACATGTTTGTTGCTGCTCTTTTCACAAGAGCTAAGAGATGGAAGCAACCTAAGTGTCCCTCAACTGATGAGTAGATAATGAAAATGTGGTACATTTAAACAATGGAGTTCTACTCAGCAATAAAGAAGATGAAATAATGAAGTGTGCAGGTAAATGGATGGATCTAGAAACTGTTATACTAAGTGAAGTAACAAAGAGTCAGAAAAATAAAAGATGTATGTTCTCCCTCATTTGTGGATCCTAGCACCAAAGCCTTATATGTGAGTACATATCCTGATGTAACTATAGGAACCAGGAAAATGGAAGAGAACCAGGGAAGTAAAGGAAAAGAAGGAACCCAAGGGAGAATAATAATAGGAGACAGGTGTTACTAAGGGAGAACTGTGTAAAAAGGGGGTAGTTAAATGGGAGGTGGGGGGAAGGAGGGCTATGCAAAGAACTGTGGGGATAAAGGGGAAGAAGGCGCTCAAGAGAGGTGGGACCACAGGAGACAGGGATTATCAAGGGAGAAATGGGGAAATAGGGATACTTTAAATGGGGATGGTGGGGAGGGAGGATAAGACAGGGAGAAAGGAGAAAAACTGATCTAGCTTCTACCTGGTATAGGGGCTAAAAACTCAGCGGAGCCACTGAGGGCGCTTAGATCCAGCCGACACATAGTGGTGAGCGTCCCCAAAGCTTCCTCAAATTGTGCCATACCCAACCCCCTAACTGGTATTTCGTGAGGTCCCTTATGGTAGGGTAAGGCTGAGACCTTAGCAGAGAGCCTGAGATCCCCTGATCTGGCCTCTGCCTGGTGTGGGGCTGAGAACTCCGCAGACTGCCTGAGAGCACCTGATCTGGCCTCCATCTGATGTGGGGCTGAGAACTCCACAGACTGTCTGAAAGAGCCAAAATCAGGCCTCCCCTTAGGGAATTTCCCCAATTGTGCTCTAAGTATCTACTAGTAGGGTTCCAAACATTAGAAGGAAGCCTGAGCGTACCTGACTGGAAGCCTGACGTGGGCTTCTGTGGGAGCTCCTGAGTAATCTGAATCCATCAGTTCCCTCCAAAATAAAATCTGAGAGAACCTAAAACCTAGACCAACCAGCTTTACATAACCAATAAGAAAACAACCAAGGTATACCAATAATACAAACAGAAGCAAACTTCAACTCACCCAAAGAAATCTTGATTTTCATACCAGAATCACAGCAAAAGAAATTCACATGCCAAAATCACAATGAAAAAATAATAAAATGGAAAGCCAAAACACTAAGTTCCCACCAAACTCCACCAGTCCTGTAGAAGAGTTATAAAAGGAGAACCTCCTAGAGATAACCCAGGACACAGAATTTTTTTTTTTAAATCATAAATATGATCAAGGAATTCAACAAATTTAAAGAACACATGAACAAACAAATCAAAGAAGATAGGGATAAACTTCTGAATGAATTCACAAGGGATGGAAAGATTTAAGAAAACTCAGGCAGAAATGAAGAAGGAAGTGAGAAACTCAATAAGCCAACTAGAAACTACAAGGGAAAGCCTCGCCACCGCTAGAATGAATGAAAAGGAAAACAGAGTATCAAAACTGGTGGATAAAGTTGAAGAACTGTAGTGTTAAAGCAAAGATTATGAAAAAATTTTTAAAACACAGGAATGGAATGTGCAAGAGATGTGGGACAACCATGAAAAGACCAAATCTACGTATCAGAGGCATAGAGGAAGGAGAAGACTTTCCAGTTAATGGTACTGACCAGATCCTAAACAGGATTGTAGAAGAGAATTTCAAAATTAAGGAAAGACATCCCCATTCAAATGCAAGAAGCACATAGAACACCAAATAGGATCAGAAAAGAAACTCCCCACAGCATATCATAGTAAAAACACTAAATGTACAGAAGAAAGAGAATACTGAAAGCAGCAAAAGAAAAATGACAAGTCACATATAAAGGAAAGCCAATCAGAATCAGAGCTGACTTATCAATGTAAACTGTGAAAGCCAGAAGAGCCTGGACCAAGGTAATTCCAGATCTAAATGACCACAGATGCTAAGCCAGAATACTTTACCCAGAAAAAATGACTATTATAGTTGAGGGTAAGAGAAAAATCTTCCATGACACGAACAGCCTGAAAGAATACATGTCCACAAAACCAGCCCTCCAAAGAATACTTGAAGCAATACAAAGAACTGAAAAAGGAACAACTATACCCCAGGGGCAACGAAAGAAAATAAATAAAGGTATAATTGTGGAAACACAAAATTAGACAAAGAATGTAAACAGTAATCAAAATGATGGCAATCAATACACATCTAACAATAATAACTTTAAATATCAATGCTGAACTCCCCAGTCAAAAGATAAAGGCTCGTTGAATGGATTAGGAAACAAAATCCATCTTTTTGCTGTCTACAAGAAACCCATCTAACCTTCAAGGACAGGCACTACCTTAAGGTGAAAGGATGGAAAATAATATTCCAAGCAAATGGTACAAAGAAAACAGCAGGGGTTGTAATTCTAATATCTGACAAAATAGATTTCAAATTAAAACTAATCAGAAGAGATAAAGAAGGCACTTCATTCTGCTTAAAGGAACAATTAAACAAGAAGATATTACAAACCTGAATATATTTGCACCAAACTGTGGTGCACCCAAATTAATTAAAACAATACTATAGGACTTTAAGACATAGACTAACCCCAACTTAGTAATAATAGGGGACTTCAATACCCTACTGTCTCAATTAGACATGCCAAACAGATAAAGAATAAATAGAGGGACCTCTGAATTAAATGGTACCATACATCTAAGGGACCTAACAGACATCTTCCGAATATTCCACCCAAGCAGAAAAGACTACACATTCTATTCAGCAACACATGGAATTTTCTCTAAAACTGACCACACACTGGGGCACAAAACAAAACCTCAACAAATATAAAAAACTGAAATAATTCCATGCACTCTATTAGACCACAATGCAATAAACTTTAAAATCAACACAGGAAGAAGCCCTAGTCATTACACAAACTCATGGAGATTAAACAACACAGTCCTAAATGATGACTGGGTCAAGGTAGAAATTAAGAAATAAAAGAATTCCTGGAATTCAAGGAAAAGGACAATACAACACAACAAAACCTCTGGGAGACTTTAAAAGCAGTCCTAAGATGGAAATTTACAGCTCTAAGTGCCTACATTAAAAAATCAGAAAGAACCAAATAAATGACTTAATACTGCAACTCAAGATACGTGAAAAGAAACAACAAATGAAACCAAAACCCAGCAGACAAGAAGAAGTAACAAAAATCAGAGCAGAAATTAATGAAATAGAAACAACAAAAACAATACAAAGAGCTGGTTCTTTAAAAAACTGAGCAAGATAGACCCTTAGTCCAGTTAACCAAAAGAAAGAAAGCAAATCCACAACAAATCAGAGATGAAGGGAAACATCACAACAGACATCCAAAAGATCCAGAACATTATAAGTGAATACTTTAAAAACCTATACTCCATTAAATTTGAAAACCTAAAGTAAATGAATGGATATCTAAAAATCCTAGGAACCACCAAAGTTAAACCAAGACGTGATCAACAGTTTAAGCAGACCCATAACATAAAAGGAAATCAGAACAGTAATACAAAGCCTCCTGATTAAAAAAAAGCCAAGGCCCAGATGGATTTACAGAATTCTACCAGACATTTAAAGAAGACTTCTAACCAATACTACTTGAGTTGTTCAAAATTAAAGAAACAAGAGGTAGAACTCCCTAATTCCATCCATGAAGCCAGCATCACTCTAATACCCAAACCAGGTAAAGACACAACCTAAAAAGAAAACTATAGACCCATACCCTTAATGAACACAAATGCAAAAATTCTCAACAAAATACTTCCAAACCACTTACAGGGACACATCAGAAAGATCATTTACCATGATCAAGTAGGCTTTGTCCCAGAGATGCAGGGATGGTTCAATATAAGGAAGTCAATAAATGTCAATAATCATATAAATGGACTCAAAGACAAAAACCACATTGTCATCTCAATAGATGCAAAAAAGGCTTTTGACAAAATTCATCATGCATTTATATTCAGTGTCCTAGAGGGAATTGGACTGGAGAGAACATACCTCAGTGTAATTAAAGCTATAAATGACAAACCCACAGGCAACATCATTCTAAATGGAGAAAAACCAGAAGCATTCCCATTACAATAAGGAACCTGACAAGGATGTCCACCATCTCCACTCATTTTCAACATAGTGCTTGAAACTCTTACTAAAGCAGCAAGACAGAAGGAAATTAAAGGAGTACAAATTGGAAAAAAGGAGGTCAAACAATCACTTTTTGCAGATGATATGACACTATACCTAAGAGATCCCAAAAGTTCCACCAGAAAAGTCCTAGAACTGATCAACACTTTCAGTACGGTGGCAGGTTATAGAATCGACCTACAAAAATCAGTAGCCTTTCTATACACCAATAACAAGCAATTGGAGAAAGAATACAGGGAAATGTCCCCATTCACAATTGCTGCAAAAAAAAAAAAAAAAATCTTGGAATAAATCTGACCAAAGATTTCTACAATGAAAATTTAAAATCATTAAAGAGATT